GAATCAAAAACTCTCCTTGATATCCAAAAGCAGCTACAATATCCACATATTCTTCAGTCATGGACCAATACAGCCAACTTCTGCAACATGCCTTCTCCTTCTTTCAAAATCATCTGCTCCAAAGGTCACATAACAGAACTAACCATCACAGGAAACAGAACCAGTAAGCTCCCTGGAAGATTTGAAGAACTCTTCACTCTTCTTACAAAACTCTCAAGCTTAAACACTTTGTCTCTTACTTCACTCGGTATATCTGGTCCCCTCTCTCCTAAGATCATCACCAAGTTACCATCTTCTCTCCAATCTCTCAATCTCACCTCTAATTCCATATCCGGGAAAATTCCAAGAGAGATTTCTTCTTTGAAGAATCTGAAAAGCCTTGTTTTAACAGACAATCTTCTCAACGGTTCTGTCTTTGATCTCAGAGGGTTGTCTAATCTTCAAGAACTGGATTTGGGAGGTAATAATCTTGGTCCTGAATTGCCTTCACTTCCAAGTAACCTCATCTCTGTTTCATTAAAGAACAACTCCTTTAGATCCAAGGTTTCAGAACAGATCAAGAAGCTGAAATGGCTTCAAAGTTTAGACCTCTCTTCCAACGAGTTCACTGGATCGATCCCAGACTTTCTGATTTATCATCCTTCTCTTCAATATCTCAGTTTGGCTCAGAATATGTTCAGCGGATCGCTTCCAAATTCTACCTGCAGCTCCTCAAAGGTTAGAACTCTAGACGTTTCTCACAATCTTCTAACCGGGAAGCTTCCTTCTTGCTACTCTTCCAAGAGTTTCAAGAACCAGACAGTGCTCTTTTCATTCAACTGCTTGTCTTTGACTGGGACTCCTAACGCCAAATATCAGCGTCCGCTTTCTTTTTGCCAAAACCAAGCGAGCAAAGCAATAGCTGTGGAACCTGTCCCCAAGGTTGAAGAGAAAGATTCTGCAAGAATCAAACTCGGCATGGTGATTTTGGTAATCACCGGTGTGGTCATCCTTGGAGCAATTTTGGTTGTTTTGGTTTTGATTGTCCTGAAAAGAAGAAGATCAGAATCAGAAGAAGATACTTTTGAAGTGAATAACAACAACAATGATAGACATGCATCTGATAAAGTCTCGGTTTGCAGCAACACAACCACCAGCACTAAGTCATTACCAGATTCAAGTAAACAAAAACTATTACTATTACTTTATGGTTCAGTTCTTTTTTCAACTAAAAGATTTTTTTACGAACGTAGGACGAGTACCGCAGACAATGAGATCTGCAGTGATTGGTCTGCCACCGTACCACGTTTTCTCCTTGGAGGAACTGGAAGAAGCGACTAACGACTTTGATGCAGCAAGTCTTCTCTGCGAGCAGGTAAAAAAAAACAACAAACATAACATGAACTACATAATATAAAGCCTGATTGATATATTTTGGTATTACAACAGTTGTACAGAGGTTGTCTCAGAGAAGGTATAGCAGTAACTGTGAGATGTATCAAGCTGAAACAGAAGAATTTACCACAGAGCTTAGCTCAGCAGATGGAAGTTTTATCAAAGCTAAGGCACATGCATTTGGTTAGCGTTCTTGGACATTGCATTGCTAGTAACCAAGGCCACAATCAACATGGTGGACACACCATCTTCATTGTCCAAGAATATATCTCAAATGGGTCGTTGAAGGACTTTCTCACAGGTAAAACCTGAAAAAAGACAAAAAAGCATTAAGTTTACAGTGTAAATTCATATAGGAATTGTTTTGATCAGATTGTAGGAAGAAAGAGGTGCTGCAATGGCCTCAGAGAATGGCAATAGCCATAGGAGTCGCTAGAGGGATACAGTTCTTGCACATGGGAGTAGCACCAGGAATCTTTGGGAACAACTTGGATATAGAGAATATTCTGCTTGATGGAACACTCACTGTGAAAATCAGTGGCTATACTATTCCTTTACCATCCAAGGTATAAAACACTATGCATATTTTTCATTCTTTCTTCTTTTAATTCAATCTATTCTGGCATTTGTAGGTTGGAGCAGAGAGCCATCAAGACAAAACTCCACGGAGGTATATATATTATCTCTTAAGATATGACAAATTGTGTGTTTCTTTTATCAAATTTTGAAACTCGTTATGGAATTGTGCGCAGTAATGAGGATGGAGAGAAAGAAGATGTGTACCAGTTTGGAGTGATACTACTTCAGATCATCACAGGGAGAGTAGTAGCTGCAGGCTCTTCAGAGATGGGAAGTTTGAAGCTTCAGGTCTGTTCATGTTTCAAATTGTCAATAAAAAACTTTTTTCATATTTGTTAATCCGACATGCTTACAAAAATGTGGAACCCTCTTTCGTTATACCTAACAGCTGGAGAATGGTTTAAGAGATGAACCATCAGTATTAAGCAGCTTAGCAGATCCATCTGTTAGAGGATCATATGCTTATGAGTCGTTGAGGACAACAGTGGAATTTGCTATCAACTGTCTTTGTGAAGATCAGAGCAAGCGACCATCGATTGAAGATGTTGTATGGAATCTGCAATATACAATTCAAGTGCAACAAGGATGGACAAACAGTGGGAATCATGAAGCAACCATGAAGGCAATATATGAATGAAAAAATCCTCAAGAAAAAAAGAAATGATCATAGAGAGAGAGAAAATTGTAGAAACAATAATGTAAGATGAATGTAGAAACAAGAATCAATAAGTCAATATGTAGTCTCATGGATTACAGTATTACCAAGCTAGCTTAGTAACCTGTTGTATGAAACAAAGCAAAAGAATATCTCCGAGAATGATCAAATTGAAATAGATATAATGCGGTTGAGATAATACATGGAAATACATAGAAACATTAAAGACAACAATCACAGAGTTTGAAAAACACACGGAAGACAGGAAATAGAAAGAGCTAGAGGAAACAAACACAAGAGAAGGTGGTTCACTGTTTTTGAAGACAATTGCTACAAAAGCATATTATTACTAGTCTGCAGTCCAGCTTTGTTCCACAACCTCACGGACTCTTCTGTTATACTCACGTTTGCTTTCGCTGAACATTCGTGCAGCTTCGGAATTCGCAGGAGAATTCGGATTAGGATCACAGAGCAGTGACTGTGGTTTAAAAGAAAAGAGAGAGATGGTTAGGCCATTGTGGTCAGATCAAGAACACCAACACATAAAAATGGAGATCAAAGATCTATGTAAAAGGACAGTCGAGGAAGCAGAGGAACAAGGATATGAGACGCATTTCAATTATTATGCATATATGTATTACCTGAATGGAGGTAAGTATAGCAGCGACATCATAGATAGGACTCCACTGGTTTTGGAGGATGTCCAAGCATATACTCCCATCAGCATAAACTGCACGGAAGTGACCAAGTGTCAGATTCGTGAACCCCATGCACTCAGAATAAGAAAACCTGGAGTTGGTATCTTTTAACTTACTGTTTGGATGGAACATCCGTGAAACAAACCGAACAGTTGGTGGTTTGTTTGGGTAATCTTCTGAAAACTGCAGTGAGAGTTTGAAAGTACCTAACAAAATCATACAACAGAGAGGATGTAAGATTGCCAAACAATTCAAGATAGGTGATTACAATTAACAAAACCATACCTCCATCCCAAGGGGTGTCATCAGGCCTGCAAATCCCCCAAACAAAAAGGCGTAGTAAATACTTAGAGAATGTTTTCCGTAACAAACATATTTTTTACTTGGTTTTAAATTACCCAAATATAACAGCATTCCAGAGCATGATGTTGTTGTCTTGAGGAGCACCACTAATCCCAGCAGGAGGGTCTTGCTGCAACCTCTTGAAATCCCTCATCAGTCTCTTCCTCGCAGGAGTCGACATCCTTCTCTCTTAACTCTATCAAAACCCAATAAGCAACAAAAGACTAACTGAGAGAAAGCGGATCATAGAAACTACTCAAAATCATGACTTTCGATGTGATCCGAAATTGTAGCTGCAACCAGCATCAACAGCAAGACTTCAGTTTCTGGTAACACTATACAATAGTACGGCCAAATCAACTGGTTCTGTCGATAACATAATTTATGATCATAAAGCACATCAAATTCAAATCGGACAAGTAACGTCATTTCAAAACATACACAGTTCTGTTTAACCTATGCAACGCCTTAGGACAGGATCAATTCACTAAAAAAGATGAATAAGCAGATATGAAAAAAAGTAATAACGACGGATCTACCAACGTGGAAAAGAGATCTTACTACTTTTGACCAAACAAAAAGGTAAAGATCGAGGCGAGAACGGTGTAAGTCGTCGTCAAGCAATCATCTCTCCTCGATTTGAGAAATGAAGTGGAGAAACTTCGTATAATGCACGCAGTGGTTTGTCTTCTAGAGATATTCAAGCGAGAGGGTGCTTAACCGAAAATTAGACCGTTAAATCGAACTGCCATAATAACCGACTTGAACCAGACCTGAACACATTTACAAATATTATATTTGTTGTTTTTAACTTGACCCCTTGAGAGAAAGTAGAATCGAGTTTTAGCAACGTTTATAGATATATATATATATATATATATATATATATATATATATTTTTTTTTTTTTAGTTTGATGCACAAGGAATATGGATTCAGACCTAGTACAGAGCACATTGGTTGTATGGTTGAGCTTTTGGGTTTGCTTTAGGAGATTTAAGGAAGCCAATGATGTAAGTGATCCAAATGTCAGAAGCATCCATCATCTTTCGGTTTACTTTTCTTTGCGTTGGTGCATGTAGGCAACATCTGGATCCACTACTTGGAGAGGAAGCGGTGATGATTCTAGCAGAGTTAGAGCCAGCGGATCCAGCTCCGTTTGTCCAGAATATATGCTGCATTAGAAAGATGGAAACATCTGTAAAGTATCAGGCGTGCAATAGATGAGAAGCAAGGCTTCCAGGTGTTTGTTTGTCTGGTAATGGTTAAGTATATGGACTGGTGATGCTGAGGTTTACTGTGAGCAAAAACAGGGTTTTTTCTTTGAGGACTAGTGGCATGGTCTTTGAATCTGAGTTCATGATGCAAATGATATAGCGATTCAGGTTACATTTGGAAAGACACTGAAGGACCTAAACCCAACGTAGAGAAACAGCTCATTATGTGGGGTAGTATTACACTCGGTTTAATGTCTGAATGCGACATCCTCACAATGACCATGCCATTGTTAGCTTCTTACATTGAATCATTGCAGTGTAGTTCAGACCCTTTGTGATCATAAAAAAAACTGTGAATTAAAGAGCAAATTGATTCTTGTTTTACCAAAACTTTAACCGCTCTTGAATAAGATAAAAGTACAACACAGAAGATGAGTTTTTTCATACACAACAACACAGTCCATTTGGTCTAAACACTACTTCAGTCTCTACTGCTACTTTCTTCTTTCTTTCGGCAAAAAAGATGGGATGGACACAAGAACTGAGTTTGCAATGTTGTCTGTATTTCTCAATCATCTACTCCATTCGTAGTCTCCACCATACTTAGGTGAAGACGCATTGTTAAGACGGCTAGAGTCTTCTGGTTTGATGGAGTTTGCAAATGCTTGCCAGCCTATAAGGTGCGGCAAGATGAACTGCAACACAATATATAAAAGTTTAAAAAAAAAAAAAGGCAAAGGGATTTTCAGAAAGAGATAAACAGAGAGAGAGAGGGATTACGTTGAAGGCAGAGATAAGAACAGCAAACTCTGCTTTAGTGATTGGTATGTATACACTCTCATCTACATTCAAAAGCTTGTTCTGAACACCTTGATGAATAAAACAACAACTGATATCAGAAGAGCTTTTAGTCCATGAAAAAAAAAAGAGAGAAAGATTGACTTACTCAGGTTAAAGAAGCGACCAGAACCATCTGGAAGGGGTTCAACTTTCAACACTTTCCTCACTTTACCTTCATCACTACTACAACAACCACAAGACAACATCGATTCACGAATCAGAACTAAAACAACAACATAATCTGTGTAATCAAATAGATCTCATCTCACAAGGGTCCTAATCATTACCCTTTTCCCTTGTTAGGATCATGGAAGAACTCACATGATTCCCTCGGCCCAAGGCTAACTAAATTACCGATCTCTGTAACTGACAATGAGAACACCTGCATAAATTCAAATCAAAACATAAACTTACCACAATCATAAAAGAAAGTAAAAGAGGCTCCTTCTTTCACCAAAATCAAGTTCATGATCAATATCACAATCTTTCAGCAAAACGACAACACATGATCTAACCACAATCATAATAGAAAGTGAATAAGGCTACTTCTTTCAACAAAATCAAGTTCACCATCATTATCACAACGTCAAATATATAATCAGATGATCTTAACCACAATCAAAACTGAAAGTAAAAGAGTGTTTCTTTCACCAAACCAAGTGATTATCATCATCACAATTCCATAGACTCCTAAGTTAAAGATAAGACCAGACCTGTTTCCTGCTCCAATCGTACTGACGAACACCAGCTGCAGGAGCAAACTGAAGCAGCAGAAACCCTTCTTTTGAAAGCTTAAACGCACCAGACTGAATACAAAGACAACGGAGATCAATCTAAGATCTACGGAAGCATGACTCAATAGAGCTTAGTTAAAAAAAGAACATACTTCTAAAGCCACAAACTCTGGGGCACGAGGCTCAATCGTAAGAGCAGCTTTCCCTTTGTAAATCGAATGACCCACATAAAACCGTGGCGAAGATCCTTCCCCTAATCCAAACAAACAAACATACACAAACCAAAAGTATGAGCTCTAAGCTATCGAAAGTTCTGAGCTTTTAAACCTTCCATATTTTCAGTATTGAAACAAAAAGGAACAATCTTTTCAATTGGGTTTACCATTTTGGGTAGAATAAGCCGGCGAAGACGAGTCGCTATACCTAGACTTCACCGTTAGCTTCACTCTCTCCATCGGCTTCACGGCAAAGCCATGCCCTTTTCCGATGAAACCACGGGCGGTGAGAAAACGAGCTTCTGGGAACCGGTGGGTTAAGGAGGTTTTGGAGTTTATTGACATTGGAGGAGAAGATAAGAGCTGCGACATCGTCTTCCTTCTCCACTAAACACGACGGAAGTAAAAAAGGGGGTTTTAAATTTTAACTAGAGAGACACACTTATCGTTATTGCACAAAAAAACACTTTTTATCGTTAATTCGCTTTTACCGCAAATTATTAAACACATTACCAAATTGGCCTAACAATTTTTACTTTTTACTTCGGTTCAGATTTAATGACGCCGCTTCTGTGTATTATCATAGGCTCAGTCAGATTATTTTACGCCGGCGAGGTAAATCTCAGACCTTGATGAAGAAGACAACTTTTCGTTAATTCGCATTTACCACATAATGTTTATACATTTACAACATTGGCCTATAGTTAGCATTTTTTTGGTCAAATGGTTTGACCCGGTTCAGATTTATACGGTCCATATTAAACTACACCGTTCGGCATAAACCTGCATTGAGCAGAGCTTGAGAGTTTACTACGCCGACGAGCTAAGTTTCAAACCTCGCCGAGGAAAAAGAAGAAGAAGAAGACTAACTTATTTTTAATTGACGATGGCTATGCAATCCGGTATTGGGTTAACGAGGATTTTGATTCTAGCTGGAGCAGGTAGGTAACTAGGATAAATCACTGTGGAGTCTATGAAGAGTTATTGAACCTTCTTTCTGACTCTGAAGGTTATACAAGTACGATTCTGGTGAAGAATGGAAAAATGGCTGATCTTTTAGGAGAGCTGCAGGTAACGTTAGCTTTTAGTTTGTTCTTCTTAGTTTTGAATGAGAAGGGTTTAATAAAAAAGGTTCCTTTTTTTTTGTTTTTGGAAGTCTTTAGTGAAACGTTTTGAGAAGTCAGGAGATCATCATTCAGATGACGATTCTGATGACATGACTACTCAGGTACTGTTGTGTGTGTGAGTCTCTCTTGAGGTGAAGATTGTGTCTGAATTTGAAAGTAACTATTTTGTAGATGCAACGGTTAGCTATGGAGATCCGGCAGATATCCTCTTCGCGGCAGATAACTGTCATGAATGGAGCTCAACGAGGTTTTTTGTTTTGATTTGGTATTTTTAAAAAGAATGTGTGTGTGTGTGTGTAGTAATCCCTGACATTCTCCGCTATGTTTTTCCAGCTGACTTTACTCCGTTGATAGTCCCGGCAGCAACGTTAGGAGCTATAGGTTATGGCTACATGTGGTATAAGGTAAGTTATTATTTAGTTGTTTGTAAACTTGAGATGATTTCTATAAAGCTGATGTTTTGTTTTTTTGTGATAGGGTGTTTCATTCTCTGACATCATGTGCGTGACAAAGCGAAGCATGGAAGATGCTGTTTCGAAATTGACTAAGCATTTGGATACTGTTTCAGAAGCTATTTCTGTAGAGTGCTTCTCCCATCAGTTGTCGCTAAGGCCTTGTATATATGATCTTTGAGAGATTCTAATTGTATTGTGATTTTACTTTATTTTGTTGGTTAGAATGCTAAGAAGCACTTGTCCGAGCGACTTAAGAGGACGGATGATAAGATGGAATTGCAGAAGGATCTTTTAAAGGGAGTCCAGGACAATGTACGAATATTGAATTTAAGTATTAGCTAGTTTCAAATTTTGTCTTCTTTCTTTTTTAGGGTGGTATTAATGAGTTTCAGATGTATGGAACAGGTGGGTTTGGCTCTAGAGGATCTTGCTAACATTGGAGATGATTTTGACGCAATGCATAGCATGTTTGGTGGTATGGTGCGTGTACTTCTGTTTTAGGAAACCTTTTTCTGTTTCAGAGCTTCTAGTGGTGGTTATTTGCATACTGGTTGACTCCATCTAAATCTTTGCCTTTCAGGGTGGAAAATTAGATAGTATTGAGTACAAGCAGGTAACTTCATTTCCATCTTGTTCGTTAGATAGTATAGGGACTTTTGAGCTTATTTACTTATCTGTCTTCTTCTGTCGCTTTTATGTTTGTTTTCTCTGAGCAGAATATTGCGAATATGGGTTTAATGTATCTATGCGACTCTATGGGGGGCGGGGAAAATCACAAGATGCCGGATATTCTGATGCAGGTAAGCATTCTCGTGAAGAGAAACATGTGAATGCGCATGCACATAGTTCCTATCAGTAATCTGCTGGTCTTATCTTACCTCTCAACTGTTTTCATCTTGTCCCTAATGATAACATGATACATGTGGTCTTGCAGGAGAAGCTTCGACTCTCTGGGAAGTCAAATACATGTATAGTAATTACAAACGAAGAAACTTTAACCTCAGAGTCAGAGGTATTGTCTGATCAAACACATTTTATCAAATACAGTCACAAATAAATTTAGCTGCAGAAATTAGTATATCATTAAACCTCCAACGAAACCTACACCCATCTGATATGCGTCTTGACATGTTTCAGGGTTTGAAAGAAAGCGATAAGATAGAGCTACTTGAAGGCTGATTCAGATGGTGCCAATTATCATCAAAGTTTGGTGATATACTAGATGTAGTATAGGATACTAAGAAATAGGAGTGGTTATTATGTATTGGTGTTTAAACTGAAAAAGATTGAAAACAAAAAGAATTAACTTTTTACATCCAAAAAAATGAAGCCTAATGATTATCCCTACTGCATTATGCACAATTTGTTACAATTCTTTTTACAGTCTTGTCTTGTTTGTTACCATAACAACACAATCAGCAGGACTTGCCCGGTCTGCAACCAAGTGTACCAGCATCCTTGGTGAGTCTTCTTACCTTTGTTCCTGGCTGAGGCGGTATCGCAAACTTGCTATGGATTGGGTTTTTGGGAGCAGGGCTCCACGCGTTTGGGCTTCCTGAATTTACAAAGTAAGCTCCGTTCAAAAAGTAATCTTTCTCTGATTGCCAGTTCCATGATTTCCACTCTTTATAAGTTGTATACTCTCTCTTTGTAACCTGCACATTGTTTCAAAAAGAGTGTCAAGTGTTATGTAATGATTAGTCAGTTGATTAGTGTTGTGGTTTCCCTTACCTGTTTGCAGTTTTCTTTAGGAGGAGCAATGAAACGATTGCCTTGACTTATAATGGTAGGGTTCATGTTTCCACCAATAGCATACATTTCCCAATGAGTATAGTCATTGTTCACTACATGGACCAAACCGTATCTGACCCTTGGCATTCTCTGAACCAGCCTCTTACCAAAATGGTTAAACGCAACCGTTATCTGCATTTTCTTGTCGATCACATCCTCGTTCTTACCTCCAAACAACATCACCTGCAAACACAAACAAAACACAATGATGAGAGATGGGTTAGAGATGCTCTTAAACATCTAAGTTCATTTGTTTATGAGAAGTTTAATTAGTTTTCGTATTTTGGTTCGGTTTTTTAGAGATGGGTTGGAGATGTTCTTAGCCTTATTTACCTCGTTATGGTCGGTTAAATGACAGTTGGAGATAGTAATAGCCGTCGATCCCATGATGGCATCGATCATCCCATCAGAACAATGCGTCATGGAGACATGATCAATCCAAATATTAGATGCTCCAAAAATCATAATCCCATCACCATCACTCATTGAACGATGGCCAACATGATGTTCACAGTCTCTAATCATCCCACCAGCCCCACGTTTAATATGTTTGATATGAATATTATGTATTATCACATTCTTCACAAACTGTAACGTTAAACCTGCACCTCCCGTGATATGAACATTCGCTCCTCGACCGTCAATAGTCTTATCATTCGTTATGATCAGTTCTTGCTGCAGTTTTATAATCATGCCTCTAGCGAAAACAATCCATAACGGTCTGTCGCGAGTCACTGCGTGTCTTAGAGTTCCTGGCTTGGGGTTGACGAGATCGTTGTCTGATGCGTCGGTGACTACGTAGAACTGTCCCTTCTTGCCTCCGGTTGTTTTCCGACCAAATCCTAGTACGCAGTGCGCTAGCTTTTTCCGGTTTTTCTCCCATTTTTTGTCGCCTCGCCAGCATTTATCTATGGCGTTAAAAGAGTAGTACCTTCCCCCACGTCTCTTTGTTTTTCCTCTAACTTGTCGGAGATGTCTCCTTGTTTCGTTGTCTGCACCACTCGTATCCATTGCTCTGAGGAGTAAAGAAAAAAAGAAAAACATTAAGTTTTACTTCTTTAGGTTTTTAAAGACATTAAGTTTACTTGTGTAAGAAGTTAGGTTTTAAAAGACGAGGGTTTTTTTTTTTGAGAACGTACTGTGCTGCATGGTAGTTAAAGTGGTCGGTGACGTTAAACGGATTAGGGTCATAAGATTCCTTAGTTTGTCGCAACGCCTCGGTTTGACGTTGGGACCAGTATTCATCGTAGACCGCGACGTGAGCTTGAATGGATGGAGCCATGCCGGAGAGAGACAATGAGATGAAGGCGAAAACGTAGCTTCCAAGATTCAAATGAGCAGCCGCCATTTTGAAAATCGACGGTGAGTTTTTTTTTTTATAACTTATTCTGGTGATAGAGGACCCTTGGAACTAGCTAGGGTCGTCCCAAAAAAAGATGTTTTCTGGTCGGCCTAGGGATAGAAATAGATGATCGGATTCATAGGTTGTTTAAATAAAAACTCTCTGATTAACGATTAGAGAGGGGAGATGAAAGAAAAAAAAGACATTAATGGAGTATTAACGATTAGATGAGTAGTTATTATGTAACCATTGATTTTTAAAAACTCTCTGATGTTTTTTTTTTTTTTTTTGCAAAACCAATTATAGTTTGGCTGATTCATTTTATTGTTCCTTTCTATGTTTTATCCTTCTTTTGTGGAATAGATTCGAGTTATTTTTGTGTGGTATTTATATTTGGGTTTTGTGGTAAAATTTTTTATTTTTTTTTTGTCAGAAGTGTTATAAATTGAGTTCAGTTAATAGTGATAGAGAAAGATGCTCTAACATATTCTAAAGCGAAAACTTAGTCACATATGAACACAAGATCTTTTGGGATGGACTTTATATGGTACAATTATACTAGCTTGCCAAGCATCTACCATATCAAAAGATCAATGTTTCTCTTCCGCCCAAACTGATCGATTACAAAAAGAAAATATGGAAACTGCTCTCCATATACGCCATTTCGTAGAGAGAATACTATCAATTGCAGTAGCAACGGGAACCACATTAGTATAGTTATTAGCTTTCAATGTAGAACATGTTCCACGGATGAAACATCTCTTCTTCAAATGTGACATGACTAGGCACATGCAGGCAGGGGCGAAGCCAGACATTGTTTTTACTGGGTGCATTTGATTATATATAAATCAAATAACTGTTAAATATAATGGCATAAGTTAAAGATAGGAGTATCGAACTCAGATTCTTCTAAAATTTATGGGTGCACTTTGACCAAATAAGTCATTTTACCTTGTATGTGCTATGTAAAAAATTCTTAATCTAAATAATTATGGGTGCATGTGCATGCACACTCTATAAGCTAGCTTCGCCCCTGCATGCAGGCAGTGGCGGAGCCAGCATCATCTAAGGGATCATTTAATAAAATAATTAGGTAATATTACTACAATAAATTTAAGATGGATCAAAATAAAGGTTCAAATTACTGTCATAGGGGTCAAGCTGAAGGATCTTAACCAAATGTTCCAGCTAAAATCAATCATACATAAGCTAGACTCATTTATATTGGAAATCATGTGTTCAACTGATCCCCTCGCCACCACATGGCTCTATCACTGGGCACATGTATGTTGGCGTGGATTTGCATATTAAAAATGAGATTCTCTGAGATTCTACTAGTTCATTTGAAGACATATTTCAAACAGTGTTAGAATTTTTTAGTAACATAAATCTTCAGTCGAGAAAACTACCACTATGGATGATTTTGAAGAATAGGAAAAGTTGAAATCTCCTGAATATATAAACAGAGGAGCAATCGATGGTTTCAAGATTTGTAGAAAACTAAAAGAAAAACATAAAATGCATAGTGAGTTAAAGAGTAAATGAAATGCATTTATGACTAAGGATTTACACAAGATGGTCCATTATGTTTGTTTCACCATAGATTCATATGATGTCCATCTTGAAACATAACATAGGGAATTATGGCTCACTCCCAAAAAGACCTATCTTCTTGCAAACAACAGTGCACACGATATGGAAGGAAGGGAACTCGTCGACATGGCGAACAACCAAAAGATGCAAACTATTTGATAAAGTTTGTAGATAAAACTGTGAGGCTCAGGTTAATATCAGTCCAGGGGAAATGACACAAGCACCTAGAAGAGGGATTGACCACCTAGTTGGGGGCACAACATTTTTTTCAATTGTTTCAGATTTTTTTATTCATTAAACAAAAACAGCTGCATTTTGATGTACAAATAATTTGACTGATTTTTTTTTTTACATTCTTTAAAAAAAAAAAATCAGAAACAGAACATAGGGTTAGAAAATTTTGTACAATGCCATTATAGACAGAATATATGCAACATGTATTGATTAAAAGAAAATTCACATGTAGTTTCAAAGTGATAATAAAACGGTATTTAATCTGATCAATGTATTTTGCAACGTATAATTAGATTCGTTAGGTCAACTGATGGACTTACAAGATATTCTAACAAAGAAGACGATTATCTTGTTGAAATCAATTGCAATTCTTCTTTTGTATTCCATCATGTATTGAAACCAAATTTCTTGAAAGTCAGTCAAGTTTTAGCTGGTGAAAGAACTAGTTAAAGAAGAAAAAAACATTTAAACATGTTTGGTAGTGATTGGTTGCCTAAAGGGACAAACAATACAGCCCAGTGGGCTGAATTAAGCTGCTGGTCCAGTCCATAAAAGGGATGAGTGAATGACACGTGTTATCATGTTGATATGATACACAGTGTTATTTGCCGCGTAAGCGAGTTTGCTTCGATTCGATACTCAAGTGAAAGCCACACGTCAGGAGAGATGGATAAGCATGGACACTCAGATCTTTGTCATTTTCCTGCATCTGCTTACGTGGAATCTCATTGTATACAGGACCCGCACTCTTAAAACAAGAGGTTATTATAATTAGGAGCAGGAAATAATATATATTAACAGAAAAATTAGCCAAAATATCCGGTTGTGATAGTAACATTAATCCTGCTTTGATATACTAACGTTTTTCAATATTTTATCAACACACACTGATATTTTCAATTTAGATGGTGATGAGAGTAGCATCAATCAATAAATTTAAGATTTTTAAACTATCTAATTATCATTTCCATGTGTTTTAGAACTTGATAAATAATTTTATATAAAAACAAAAATGGTTTCTTTTATGTATGGATGGACCAAAAATGAATAGTAACAAGTACACTTATCCTACCCTACAAATAAAACTTTGTACTTATCCTAAATCCTTGTGGATATCATGTAAGCATAGTAACTACTAGTTGTTACTTTAATTAGAAAGCAAAGCTGTCAAATAAAGAAAAATAAAATATCTAAATGTAAACATCTCAAATGTTTTAATACACAAACCGTCCTCTCTTCCAACAGCCACAGAAAAAACGAAACACATTAAAATATCAGTGAGAATCAAAGAAGAAGAAGAAAGAAGAAAGTTTCTTCTTCCAAGATTACATCAATTGACGCTAACTCCTCAATTATTTAACTTGCATCGCTGGGTTTCTCTGTCTCTTCCTCCTTATCCAAAACTGTGTAAAGTTTCGATCTTTCCCCATGAGAACAACATATGTAATTTCTTGATTTCCCAATTGAATCTGCAATCTGGGTTTTCGTTTTCCGACCAAACCCAAGAAGAAAGCTCTCAACTTTGGCTCCAAAACCCCACATGGGATTGGCACTGAATACTTCCAGAAGACGAAGAAGAAGAAGAACAGTGTTACCAGTCACCATCATCGAGTCTTCGCCACGACTATGTCCATAACACAATCGCTTTTCACATCCACTACAGAGGAGAAAGAAGGAACCTTCACCACTCTATGGATCAAAGAAGCATTAGACGACCTTCCCCACAGCTTCACAATCACCGACCCGTTTCTCTCGGGTCACCCGATCGTCTTCGCCAGCCCCGGGTTCCTCCAAATGACAGGTTACTCTCTCCAAGAGGTCATCGGGAGAAACGGGAGGGCCTTTCAAGGGCCCAAGACTAATCGGAGATCGGTCATGGAGATTCGCGAGGCGATTCGCGAGGAGAGACCCGTTCAGGTGAGCTTGTTGAATTACCGGAAATCCGGATCTCCGTTTTGGATGTTGTTTCATATGATCCCTGTGTTCGGGAGAGAGGACGGGAGAGTGATCCATTTCGTCGCGGTTCAGGTCCCTATTACGGGGCGGAAGGTGAGTAATGGGACGGGTTTGAGGGAGATGGTGTTTGGTTCTTGTCGGAGAGAGGTTTGTTTGGGTAGTTATGTGCATCAGGAGCGAGTTGTGCAAGTTGAAATGGATGAACAAGGTATATGCCTATAACTTGTTCGATGAAATTACTCAGAGAGATTTAAATCAGGCAAGAACGACGAATGGTCTAACTATTTAGTTGTTACAATGCAGATTTAGAAAACTGGGAACACTGTGAAGCGAGTGAGTCTGAGAAGCTAAAATCTGCGGAAGCAGTTAGCAATGTGTTAGCTGTTTTGACGCGTTATAGCGAGTTTGCTGGGAGATTAGTATGTGGGAAGAGGTGCTGTTTGCGTGGTGCAGATTGTTTAAGCTCCTCGTTAGTTATATCTCTTGGTAGAATCAAACAAAGTTTCGTACTGTGAGTTTTTTTTTTGGTTTTGTGAAGTTACTGTCTGCTACTATTGATTTTTCTCCCGTGACATTCTTCTGGTAACTTTGCAGAACCAATCCGTGCTTACCGGACATGCCTATCGTTTATGCTAGTGATGCCTTTTTGACATTGACTGGTGAGTGCCTGCTATAAGAAACTTTTAATCAGATCATCGCACTGTTTTCTTACTTCTTGTTTATAGGTTACAAGAGACATGAAGTGTTGGGACAAAACTGTAGATTTCTAAGTGGGGTTGATACTGATTCCTCGGTTCTATACGAGGTAATGTTTTCGTTTTTTTTTTAATTAGTTAGTAGTAATAAGTAAGGTGCGTTCATGGGGTTGTTGACATAGTGTATGCTTATTTTGGTTCAGATGAATGAGTGCATCGTAAAGGGAAAATCATGCACAGTGCAGATACTAAATTACAGGTTGAAGATTTATTTCTTCAAACCGTTAACGAGATGGAATATATTTTTTTTTTTTGGTTTCTTGTCTGATCATTTATATTCTTTTCAGCAACAGAAAAGATAAGAGCACATTCTGGAATCTTCTTCACATATCACCAGTTCGTAATGCTTCAGGCAAGGTAATTTCCATTGTTTTTGTATTGGCATCGTCTCGTGTCTAAATAAAATCTTGTTTCAACATGTATAATTGAAAAATGTAGAGATTTATCAGATTAACCAATCCAGTTTTTAGTTTCCACTATGGTTTGGTTTCAGTGATTCTGATTATACTCTGTTTTTTTTCTTTGTTCATTTGGTTTCAGACGGCATATTTTGTTGGTGTTCAGGTGGAAGCAAGTTGCAGAGATACTGAAACTAAAGAGCTGAGACCGGAGACAAGGCAACTGAGTGTGGTCGGTGCCGTTAGAGTTGCGGTCAGAAGCTCTTTCATGGTGACTTGCTAATGATACTATTCGCCACAACAAAAAAATGCCTTCTAGAGAGAAGTAAAGAGCATGTGTAAAGTGAATTCGACATACATTTATATGAATCATATTGTACATGAGCATATAAAGTCTCTATTTGAGCTATCATTAAAGAAAACAGAGAGATGGTTATAGGAAGGAAAAAATGATTAGTATTACTCTCAACAGGCACAACTTGTTTCTTTCCTTGAAGTTTTAAGTATGTACAAATTCTTTTGCAAAACGTTTATGGTTGTGATCAGGCAGATGATAACTTTTAAAAGTTTAAACAGATACATTACGTTTGTAAAGAGAAGTTGAGGGAAGAAAATCACAATACTAGACAGTCTAAAATCCACCAAAAGCATACAGAATAAAACAAAGTTTTGATAACAAACAAACAAAAGCTTAGTTAATAAGTGAGGTGGAATAGTTATACCTAGTCTCTCCCCTGACAACGAACTCAATCTGACCCATCTGTTCTTCTTCCACCTTGGTACATATAAAAGCGCTTGTCACTCCAAACATCTCCACGATGAAAATGTTCACTTTTTTATGTGTATGAATCATTCCTTTGCACTCAGAACATACTTCATCTTTGAGAAACTTTATCAAACTAACAAAGTCCAGGTTTTCCGGTACAGGAAGATCACTCTTTAAACCAAAGATATTTTCTTTGTATATCTTCTTGAAAACTTGAGGATATCTCAACGAGAGCTTATTTATGTGATAAAGGTCAAGTAAAAACATATAACAAAGCTTTACATGACCAACATGACCTTGTTGTAGAGAAGCCCATCTTTCTAACCACACGCTCAACGGAAGCTTAGGCATGTGAAAAACGTAAAGTAAAAACATATAATACACACAGTGGCCACAAAGCTTTACGTAACCAACATGACCTTGTTGTTTCCAGAGAGAAGACCATCTTTTTGACAAAACGCTCGTTGCTGCAGCTTCTTTTGTTGGAAGCATCGACAAAATCTTCACCAATATATCATCAGGCAATTCACTCAGATTTTTCATTTTAACCTTCCTAGACTCACAGAGACTATTACTGTTTGCAAAAAAAAAATCAGATCAAGTTTCGTCTCTTACCTACCTTCTCTATCACGGCCAAGTAAAACCCTAATTCACAGAGACTTTATATTCGATTGTTTTCTCTTGAAAGGAAAGTAAAGTAACTTTACTATAAAAACTGGAAAAGATAGTCGGTCTTGATAGACACGTTAAAGAGTAAGATTAACTAAATAAGTAAAGAAAAAGAAAATGGAGATGCGGGGTATCGATCCCCGTACCTCTCGCATGCTAAGCGAGCGCTCTACCATCTGAGCTACATCCCCAACTGTTGTACCAATATATTTGATAATTAACTTTTCCTCACCAACTAATAATGTCATGTTCATATTACAATTTGTATACCAGTTAGGGGTGTTATAAGAACATAGAACCGGAGAGTAGAAGGCGAAACAAATTTATTTCGATTCTTCATAACATTGTCAACTACTTAAAAAAGAACCAATACGTGAAGAACTCTTCTTCAACATGTAATAAAAGTATAAAACCAATTCAAGCCTTCAAGGCAAAGATGGTCTTATAGACTTCCTAACGTTCCTGAGAACACTCCACATAAACGTAGATACAAAGAAGAGAGCAATACCAGCAACAACAGCTTCTTTCAGACCAAGATTCACCAGCAAGTTCACAAGCAGTCCCGCTAACACAACCCCACAGAAGTTAGCCGAGACAGCAGACCAGAACGGCATGTCGAGGATCGATGCTATTATAGCTCCTGTCCAAGCACCTGTCCCAGGGAATGGAACGGCTACAAAGAGCATTAGTCCTAACCACTGGAACTCTTCCACAGGCCCAGCTTTCTCTTTAGCTCTTTTCAGTAATACTTCAAGTAATTTGGAAGCTGTTTGGCTCTTACCCGCTAAGAAAGTCACCATCTTTTTGAGGTAAAGTATGATGAATGGAACCGGAACCATATTGCTACAAAAACCCAAAAGCACTGTCACTTTTTTTTTTTGCTTATATAATGCAATCATATGAATATGAACTGAAATGTTTGCTCTAGTTTATTACCACATTATTTAATCTCAAAGATTAAAAAAAAACAACAGAAAATGTGCTCCTTAGACAAGACAAATTGTAATTGTCAGACACAAGTTATCACTAATTCACCATAAATTCAAGAGAAGTGAGAGAATTTGCTAAAATTCTGTTTATTCAGACTTATAATAGATTCAACTAATTTAATCCTCAAACATAAGAACAACATTTCAGACAAAACTAAACACCAACACTTACAAACTCTGGTCTGAGAACAAATCAATGACAATATGTATCCACACTTTATTATTCAAATTAAGAAGACTAACCCAAGAACAGAGAAGAAAGTGAGAACCACCGGTTTAAGCTGCATCCAATAACCGACGGGGATAGCACCACGCAGCTCAATAACCGGAAGTGTAGCCAAAGCAAAGACCACAGCTTCGTCCGGCCAAGCAAACCGGCGGAGAGTGGCGGCTATTCTGAGACCAAAGCTCGAAGATTTGATGGAGTCAGCAGCAGCAGCTTTGGCGTCGCCGGACCTAGCGAACCAAAGCAAAGAGAGAGAAGCCCAGAACACAACGCATATCGCGAATTTCACTGGGTTTGCGCCAATAGATGAAAGCTCGATGCTTTCGTTTCCTTCTTTCTCTTCTTTGAGAAACCCATCTGGAGAAGAAGAACAGCGTCTGGTGAAGTTACGGCGTAAAGGGTGGAAAAGATTTGAACTTTGAGTCGTGTTTTGATGGAATCTTCTTGGAGAAATCGAAGATGAGAAAGACCTTGTGGGTGTTGAAGTAAGGAATTGAGTTTTTGTGGATAGAGTGAAAGGAGAGAGTGAGACTAATGTAGAAATCGTCATTTCTGAATTTCAGCTTTGATTCTTGTTCAATTTGTGATCATTGTTGGCTCGATATGACTGCAATATCTGACCGGAACCTTGAGTTGGTTATCTCAGACGTGGTCGGAAATTGACTCTAGTATTCAATTGGTAGAGGGGGATTATTGAATAACAAAACATATTTAGTTTGGATAAATGTATAAACCTTTTTTTAAGTTGAGGGCTATCCTTGCAGTTAAAAGAAACGCGCAGCGTTCATGTGCTATAAATCCATCTAGAGTAGACCCAGTATTTAACCCGAATCCAAAATCAAACCTAAACCGATCAGAAATAAACGGTTCAAACCGAAGTATAAAAAATAGCTGAATAGATTTTGTTACGAGCATCTTGTTCTGGTCCGTGTCTACTGGCATCTTATTTTCTCCTTATTATTTGCTACTATTATATCATCTTATACTTTTTAATTTAACCAGTGTTATAAAAAAAAAGATTTTGTTACGAGCATATTCGGATATCGGAAACCAATCGGGTTATATCCGATACCGAAAACAAACCCTAATGGTAGGTATGACAAGTAATGCACTCTATAACAGTTCGGAAACAAATACAAAAAATGTTCAAAAACTACACCGCGAGATGATTAAAAAGTAGAAAACTAGAAATGGTTGTTATCTAGCTTCTTCCGCCGTGTCTACTTCTTCCGTGGATAGCCCTTTTTCTCAGCATAGAAAACTTCGATAAACAAAGACCTTCTGCCTCTTATATGTTCACGGTGAAGAAGACCAAAACTACCTTGTCCCCACTCTGTTCCTGCAGAGTTTTGAATAATCCAGAAATACATACCCCTCTCATCCACTTCAAACCCAACTGCAGAACTGCATGAAGTTGTTCATGTTGTTGGGTACTAGCTCTCTGGGTGGGTCTGTAAATACCATGTATTTCATACAAAATGAAATAGATCATTCCAAAAGCAAAATATATGTTTTAGTCTTCTCAAATCAAAATGATTAGTAATTAATACACTAACCTCTCGATATCGAAACAATTTGGGCCACATAGGTATAACCGCTGCTACCGAATGTTGCCAAACCAGATTTGCAAGTTCCATGTCATCAACCGGGTTCATGATAACCAAACGATCTATTGTCGCAGTGGTGGGCTACAAAGAGAGAAGAACATTTGAGATTAGTTTTTCCAACGAAATATCAATAAAGAAAGGTACTAGTGTCTCACGTGCACATTCCTATGAGAACATGTGCCTCTGGAACGTGTATACGAGCCTTCAGATTCGTCTAAGATCCCATTCTCTTTAACATAATCTCCGAGTGTTTTTCGGTTCTCCAAGCCCAATTTACCAATCTTCACATTGTTGGCTAAATGTTGGATAGAAAAAGATCGTTGTTCCTTTAATCTCTGACCAATGTTATAGAGCGCTTCTACACATCGAATAGAGGAGATCGCCCAAGAAATTACTACAAACAAAGATTGAAGGATTGAGATCAAAAATAATAGGAAGAAAAAGCCAAAGGCGAGAACATCCAAACATCTACTAACTTAATTTATTAACTATATTATTATAATGCTAAGAACTTACGATCATTACGTTGATTTAGGACATTACTAACTATGCCCCTATAGTCTCTCGAATCCCAATTGGAAGGGCAAACCTAGACCACAAATTACAAAAGCTCATAGTTAATTTCATATATCAACAGGTAATTATTAAGAATTTCTAGAATATACTTACGTTTCCTTCCTCTGACACTTTTACACTTTTTCCTACTGCGTTTTTCTCTTCTTGTTATCACATTGTCATTTTCTTCTTGTCTTCTAGAGTTTGTTGATTCTGTTACATTCATTGGACATGGATTTATGCTCCTGGCCATATATACTATTGTTTAAAAATGTTGAATTGATTGATTATTAAGTATTTGGATGCATTTAGGTGGATGAATTCAACTCCAAATGCCAAAAAACTCTATCTCGAACAATGACTGTTGAATGGTGGTATCTTAATTTCCAATTGGGATGATTATATTTGATGACTGCTGAAAAAGAGCACTAAAAATAATCATTTTAATGGCTTTTGAATGAATCAATCTTTTACTGACAAACTTTGCGGCTGTTTATTTGAGTGAATTATGCATTCTTGTGTGTTTCAGGTTAATGGAATAATGGGAAAGTTTAAGATAGTTCAGGAATGTATTTACCGGGTGCATCAATTGTGCATAAAGAGAATGACTTTATAGAATTGAGTAACGGTACCCAATCCTTGGGTTTGTTTTCTTCTTCTAAATATGGGATTAAAATAACGCCTCTACCTATAGCGATCGCTCACCTTTAGGATTTAAGGCGCCACATGCACAATACAAGTAAGATTAGTAGTTACCTATACATATTTTTACATTCATGTTTATCCTAAAACATTAACATTGAAAATAATCATTATCTTTATAAAAGTAAACATAAAACACACAATTAAACTTCCAAATCTTATAGAAAAAAAAACTGAATCCAAAAACGTCATCATAAAAACTCAGAAACAAACATAACTTCCGTCTTCACAAAAAGTCATAAAAATAAACTCAGAAACAAATAATCTCATAAACAAACTTTAAATCTGAAAGTCCAAATCTTGAAAGTCTTTCTACTGATCATAGTTGCTTGCTTTAAATTGGCAAATAAATTGGAAATAAGAATCTTACTGTTAAATGTAGAAAGCGTTGAGGCTCGCAAAGGCGTGACAAGGCGTTGCCTTCATGAATCAGCCTCGCTTCAGATCCTCAAGGCGAGACACCCAGTTTTGACCTCGCCTCATGCCTAGGCTTCACTATTTTAAACACAATTCTCAATTGCATCAGTTCGATGTAGAGAGCTCACATTGTTTTTTTTTATATGTTTTTGTTTCATTTCTGCTCGCGTTGCTCTCAATTTATGCTTGGTTTTACTGCATGGGTTCACTAGTTTTTGGAGGCTTTGATTTGGTTCTTCTTGAGGCTCAAGATTTCCGATTCAGTTTCAACAGCTTCAGATTCAACGTTTAAGATTTAAGTAGTGGGCGCTTCTCTAATGCTCATGATGCCTCCAATGATTTTGCCGCGTCACCTCTGTCAGATCATATTATTTGTAACCTTCTTCCTAAGGGTTGTTAAGTGGCCTCTAGGGGGATCTTCTGACTATATATCGCTATAGGAATAGTTCATGCAAATTTGGCCCGGCTTGGTTTATTCTTGCAAAAAGGTGGGATGTTGATCCATATTACAGATGTTACCAGAGCCAGACTTGACCCCATGATCTCGAAACATTTTAATGGACCTTATTTTTGTGGAGTCTAAATTTTTTAAAAATATATATTTATAGATTCTTAACATTTTTTGATAAAAAAGAATTAAATCTGAAATACAATGGAAATAAGAAAAACAGTTTTTAAAATTATAGTTTATATACAAATTTTTTTATCAGATACAAACAATATATTTTATCTTAAGAAATAGTTTAAATTAAGATTTACTAAATACTTTAGGATAGTCGTGCAATATTTTCGTATACAATATAGTTAACAGGTGTCAGTATGACCAAATAAGTTTTGTCAAAGAGATTTGTCCAAAAAAGTTTTATTAAACAAGTAAAAGACACTGATATTTTAGTGTTAATTGCTATAAATTTAGAGATCTGGGGTTGTAGGTATGTTTTCATTGTAAATTATGAGAAATTCAGTAACTCAATAAAAGTGAAAAAAAAATAGAGAAAGAAGCCAATCAACAGAAATCACATTTAAAAGTTAAATCTTAAGGGAAAGTTTTCTTATTTTGAATAGAACTCCTACGTTGTAGGTCCAGCTCTAGATGTTTCATTACCAATCTCAGAAAATAACAAGACCTGATTAGCAAACTAGAAAGAAATTACAAACCAACCAAACCGAATCTGGTTAAGTTTTCTAGTTCATGATAGTCTGTTAAATACCTCAATAATATCCAAACCCCCCCCCCACCAACCAAAATTAATATAGTAGAATTTCTATAAATTAATAATCAATAAATTAATTAATATATTTTTTTTAAAATAAGATAATTTTATAATTTCAAATTGAATTTTTGGTTCAATTGTTATATCGATAAATTAATAATTTATAAAAAAATATAATTTTGGTGTCGTCCTAACATTATTAATTTATGGAATTTTTAATGTATTTGATTTAATAATGTAAAAATATTCAAACAGATTCTAAAATTTTATACCCAAAAAAACTCGAAATCTTCTTTATTAAAACAGAATCACACTTATTATTTACCCTTCCTATTACTTGGCATATTACTTTTTCTGCCACTGGACCTTCCTTTTTTTTTTTAAAACTGTTTTTACATATTTCTATATATTTATGTCGACAGATATATATTCAGTTACCAAATATCTTCTTTATACAAACAGTTATATTTTATTTAAAGATTTTTTAACTTAAAAAAAAAGAACGTGGTCCTCAACTCAATCAACTTAATCCACGATATTCAACTGCAATCTACAAAATAACTGTAAACCTAAAAAATTTATGTCTTTCTTTAGCCTATTACCTTTGCTTATATATATCGGAGACGAAACATAACTCTCCCACACCTTTCTTCTATATCGAAACCAAACTGCTAACATGGAACTCAGCTTTGTCAACCAGATTAAGCCGCTCAAAACAAGATGGCGTCTGCAAGTAAAGGTCCTTCATACCTGGAAGCAATTCACACCACTATCAGGAGAAACTATGGAGTTTGTTTTGTCTGATGCATATGTAATTTTCTTAACTCATTACTCAGATTCGTTCTGTTATATCTTTTCATTATTCTTAACTACATCTATCTGGCAGAGTACTAACTGAGTAATGTTTTTGTTCTTATATTGAAGGGTAACAAAATTCATGCATCATGTAAGAAATCTTACTTTCATCGTTTGGCTGATAAACTACCTGTTGGTGTTTGGAGGAACATCGACAATTTCTCTGTCACTAATAATGGCGGTAACTTCAAGACTACTGATCATCCATACAAGATTGTCTTCATTCACGCCACTGAAATCACTCCTTCAACACTGCAAGACGACAACATGTTTCTTAGTTTGGTCGACTTTGAAAGTATTGAAAGTGGAAAACTTGAGCCATCCATCTTAATTGGTTAGTTTTTTACAGTAATAAAAATGGTCCATCATGTCGACTTCCTTTTTGAACACTACAATGTCACCGATGCGAAGGGAGTGTGCTTTGGCGAAGTCTTTCCAACCGCCGGTGAGTCTTCTTCCTTCTTGAATAACTTCCCAAGTTTTGTGGGATGCGTCCGATCGTAGTGTCCATACTCCTTGGTTCGGCTTGCCTTCTATGTGTTTTGAGTAGAAGGCAAGTGGTATTGCCACGCCACTGTAGAAACCAAGAAGGAGAGGCTTAAAGAAGTGTGGTTCATGCTGATTCGCCATCTGCAAACGAAATGGAAACAATGTTACATGTTCTGTTTAAGTATTTAATAAAATTCATCATTTAATAATTTTCTGTATGTATATAGTACAAGCAAATACATCAAAGCGATTTCGTTTCAAACCGTAACAACTATCAAAAATAATACAACCAAATCATTTGATTAAGAACAATCATTTGATTAAGGACCGACAACGATAAACAACGAGATTGCAAATCTATCAAACAAACAAATTTTAAGAACTCGCCTTACGGATCAAACACACAACGAACAAAGCACTTTATTTGGTTTATTTCGAAACATTGTAAAACAATATCAGAGTAGTGACTCATTCATCAAAACAAGATTGACTAGAAACCACCTATTATCAAACTAGCGCTTTAAGGTTGGTTTCTAAGGCTTTCTACTCTTCGCCATGGCTCAAGAAGGACGAGTCTTTTATAACCAAGCTCATACCAATTAATTATCATGCATAAAAACGTAATAGATCAAACACCAATGAATCATAATGAATCAATAACACCAATAAATCATAATGACTCAATAATTCAATGAATCACAATGTCCCCTACACGTAGAAATGATGTAAGAGAACAAGATGTCAAACAAGTTTTCATCTTTTAAAACCCCGAAACAACAAACTCATTGAACACCAAATCGATTGATCTCGATTTCGATCAGAAGCACAAACCCCAACTCTAAACGAGAAGAAAACATCATTCAAGAGAGTTACTACCATAAATCAACAACAAACTCATTTTCCCCCAAATCGATTGAAACCCAAACTCTCGAAACCCTTAATAACGAACCGATTTATCTCGAAAACGCGAAGAAAACAACATGCAAAAGAGTCTAAAGCACAAATCAAGAACAGAACGAGTCGATTTACCAGATGCGTCGAGCAAATGAGTTAATCGCCTCTGAGTTTTTTTTTTAGAAGTGTCGAGCAAATGAGGGATTTTCTTCCCCTACACCCAAATACATAAGCCCAGATCAAAACAGCAGATAATATTGGGTATATTTGAAAACTTATTAGCCAAATAAGCCCACTTAAATCCTGACCAAATCCACTATCATTTGTATATATTCATACCAATACTATATTAATATATATACATGAAATACGGCTTAATTTTTCCTAACCATTAATATGAAAACTAAAATAAACAAAATCAAAATGTCTCAACAATATGTTCTTGGAATAAATTATACTTAAAATAGTTCATTTCCAAAATTCAGATATTATATCACTTTACCCATATTTAAATTAATAGGTTGTATATATTTACAATTTTAATATTGATATTTAATCTTTTAAGCATTAAAAAATTATAAAATTCAAATTATTTCATTTTGCCTTCCATCATTCTAATTAAATTTTATAATAAATTTGTAAGCCGATAATTATATCTGCTCCCTTAGGGTTGTTTTTTAACTTTCGTAAAATACATTTTAAATTTATTAACTAATAAAAAGAATAAAAAAAATTTTAAATATGAGTTATAAAAGATGTATCTTAATCGGAAAGTGTTTAAAAGATTTCACCCTAAGATGCCAGTGTTAATCAATCCCTACATCATTTGAACATAGAATTTTATTATCGTACCATATAAATAAAAATATCACAATTTTTAAATTATCCAAATTTTAAAAGAAAAGAACCACAAAAAAATACCCGCCCTTTAGAAGGGCGGGTCAAAATCTAGTAACTCTTATAACCCAATCCACGGGGTAGAAAGCCCAAATGCCTAGGAAGAGGAGTCGAGAGTGCAGTTTTGTTATTAAAATAATCTCCTTCTCTCTAAAATATCTTAAAGGCGACGAAGAAGAAGAACATCGGAGAGGCGGAAAGATCAGTGAGATTCGATTCGATTCGATTCAAATCCAAAGTAACTCTTTTTTCAGTTTTGGAGAAGAAGATGGACGGAGAAGAAGAAGTGAGTATCAAGGAGCTAGCTTCCAATCTCACTACCTACAAAGAGCAGCTCGAACAGGTTCTTCTCTTCTCTTCACGGCTTTGTTTGTGATTATAGAATCGTCAGGAGGCTTGAGAATTGGTGCGAATTACGATTGAATTGAGTAGATTAGGGTTATGTATGATTGTTAGGGTTCGTAAGGATGCATTCAAATTAGGGTTTCGTTTGATTGAAACAAGTGTTCGTTTTGAATTGATAATCTTGTTTTGTTTTGCTCTATCTCTGATGGGAATTTTACACTCTTTTTTTTTTGTTTTTTTTTCAGGTGAGGCAGCTATTGTCCCAAGACCCTAGAAACTCTGAATATGCGGACATGGAAAAGGAGCTTAAAGAGGTGATCATACTTCCTTCTCACTAATCACTTCATTGTTTTGGTTTTGTGTGGTCAAATCTTTTGTTGTCCATGTCATTGTGCTCGTGTCGTGAGTGATATTTATTGAAGTAGATTACGTTAGTTGAGCATCATCTAGGTTTCGCAAAATCATGTCCTTTTATGTTTCCCCTTCCTTCCATCTTTTTGAAGGATTCAGCTTGTTGCTCAAATCTCCATCTAGCAACATTATTTAACCACTAACATCATACAGAGGACCTAGGTTTCACATCTGTAATCTGAAAGGTGAGTTCTGTTTTACTCCGGCAGTGGAGTTTTGGGTCAGCCAAAAAAACAGTTGTACATGAGAGAGTAGGAGAATTAGCGAGGAATTCATCATTTCTATCTTGGTTGTTGTGCAGGTGTTGCGAATATGGGTCATGATTGCCACTCTGCTTCCTGATTTCTAGCGTTTGAAGTTCTATTTCTGAAAATCTCAATAGATATACTTTGTGTGAAATTGCTGTAATCCTCACTTCTCTAACACTTGTTTTTGCACCACGTAGGTGATTGCATTGACAGAGGAACTTCTTGCAACCGCTAAGCAAAATGAGATCCCTCTATCAGATGCTGGAGCTGAATCACCCGATTTAGAGGCTGCTTGGCAAAAAATGGTACGTTTATTTCTGTCATCTTATCTCTTCTCCTTGTCATTTTACCGTCTTTCACCTCTCTCAATCTGTCATCTTACCTGAAAATGAAGCTACGTGATTATTTTTTTCAGGAATCGAGGAATGACCCAATACATGAGGGTAAGTTCCCCATCGGAACAAAAGTTCAAGCTGTTTATAGCGACGATGGCGAGTGGTATGTCTGAAAAACTCTCAAGTCTCTTGTAATCTGTGATGTATCTATTGTATTCTTTACGTCTTCTTCCCCATTTTTTCTTTGTTTGATTTACTTAAGTGTTCAGGTATGATGCGACTGTTGAGGCGCATACTCTAAACGGCTATTATGTTTCGTATGATGCGTGGGGTAACAAAGAAGAGGTAATGCTTCCGTTCCCGTTTGTGTTTTTCTATTAAACAAAAACTAATGTTGAGGTCGCCCTGTCACAATGTAGGTTGATCCAGATAACGTGAGGGCAATAGAGACTAATGCCCTCTTGGAAGCTGAAAGAATAGCAGAAGCTGCGAAGAATGCACTCAAAAGAAAGATTGAGCAAGCTGCGAGTTCTGATTATCAATCCAAAACTCTACCAGCAAAGCTTAAAATCGATCCTAATGATCCCGAGGACGTGGTAAGTCAAAGATTTTGATGATTTAAATTTAGGTTGTTTTATGAGGTCGTTGTTTATGATGATATCTCGGTTGTTGTTTTTTTTGCAGAAAATTGCAAAGCGTAAGAAGATACATGCATTCAAGTCAAAGGAGAGGCAGGAGAAACTAGAGGTTGCACAGAACAAGAAACAGAATGCTTGGCAACAGTTTCAGACGACTAAAGCCAAAACTAAAAAGGTAGGGTTCTTCACAGGGAGGAAGAAAGAGAGCATATTCAAATCACCAGAGGATCCGTTTGGGAAAGTGGGTGTGATTGGAAGTGGTAAAGGTTTGACAGATTTCCAAAAGAGAGAGAAGCATCTTCATCTCAAGTCTGGTAATGATGCTGAGGGTTCTAATGAATGAAAAGTGATTTTATATGTTTCTTAAGTATTTTCAGGTACTTTGAGTAGTAATTGTTCCTGTCTCTCGAATAAACCTCTTAAAACAGAAAGATCTAAAACCCTTTTGTGGATTTTCTACTCTTTTGTAAGTCGAATCAAATATTAGCTCTTTATTTCCTATTCGATAGTTTTGTTTCCTGTGTTAGTTGACAATAGGGTAGAGTTTCCCTGACCTGTCCAGCCGTCAGGAGATTATATATCCAACCGTCGTCCCTCTTAAAGGTGACATGAACAAAATTCTGATGAGTAGAAGAAACTTTTCTTTCTTCTTCAAAACGGAGGTTGCATTAAATGATAAACAATATCTGGGGAAACTATGGTATTCTTTACTAATGGTGGAGTGTATTTTTATTTTATTATAAGCTGAAGTTAGCATGCCAGAGTTGCATGTTCAGTTTGGAGTTAATTTGTATACGACATTTTATTTGAAATTAAAGGTAATCCCCGATGTTCTTTCTATTCCAGATATAATAGGACAAAACTAATGCTAGGCTTCACACAGATGACACAATCGTCTTTCTGGGAGAGGCCATTTAGTTTTAACTCCATTCTTTTATTATGTTTGAAACACAATATTTCCTAGCCATTGGCGAGCCAGAGGAAACAAGGGGTGTAAGATCGCTCACACGGTCGCAAAATGAAAACTTATAAAGCAACAACACAGAAGCAGAGTTAAAAAAAAACAGAAGCCTTTTAACTAAAATAACTGTTGAGCATTAAAATTCTTGTTCGCCGATTCAGAAAACTATGTTCTCAATTTTGTTTCCCTGTACCCTCTTGGAACACTGTTTCATCTCTCATGCAGAGAAAATTAATCATCCATCGCCTTTGTGGTTCAGTAACACAATATACAAACTCTTCACTCGTTGCGGATTGTCTGGTATTTTCCCCACAATTGTTCAGACCTCTTCATGTCAGCCATTAAGCTCTTGAACTTGTGGCTATAATCCACTCCACTGTTTAACATTTCACATTTATTTCAAACAGAGAAAAAAAAGATCAGATCAGAGCAGTTTGGACTTAAACGCAGAAGAGAAAAATCATAATCGTAAAGGAGTGGGAGAGAACCTGATCCGATCCAATGATGATATAGCACGGAGAGCACTTCTGATCATGTCTTCATTACGGTCATGCTCTTGCTTCACTGCATCTTGCTTTGGCTTGAAGTTTTTTGTTTTTTGCAGTGGTTCCACAAGCGAATCCAGTACTTAAAGAAGAAAAATATATATAAGGAAAATTTATTACCTGATTCGGAACAATGATTTTGAAAGCTATTAATTAACATACCAGCTAGCACGGCTGAGGGGCATTTATCCGCTAGTAGTGAGAGTATAAGATGACACAGCATCTTCAGATCGTAATGATCTGCATAAACAGATATCTATGTTATACAGAAATTACACCATAGGGGTTAATTAACATATGAGAGAGATATAGACAAACTTACCTTCTAATCCGGATTTGAGGAAAGGAATAATGAAAGAAGATGGATTCAGTTGATCAAGACAGCTATCAAGCAGAGTAAATACACACTCAAAAGCTGCTTTCCTCAATTCAAGCCCATCATCTACAACGTGCTTGAATGGCCCTAGATCAACCGTTCTTATTAATTCTTTCTGCAAAAAAAAAAAAAAAAAAAGAAATGCCCCCGTCAATGGAAAACAAAACCTTGTCCGTATTACTATGATAGGATAACTGCGTTATATATATCACTTTGAGCCTTCTATAGAAATTACCTTAATAACGGTTTGATCATAAAGAAGCGGTAACAATTCAGGGAGGAGACCTTTAATAAGGTTTGGTTTATAGTGAGCAAAGGTACTCAGGGCTGACACAGCTGCACGCCTAACATGCTGCACAAACCACAGAACCGGAGAAAAAGTTATGATTAGGACTCACAGCAAAATTACTTTTGTTATCATCGAATTGGGTTGATTTTATTTGACTAACCCTATCACCATCTTTGATTAGCATCAGGAATGAAGAAATCTCAGGGAAGATGATTTCATCTAACTTCTCAGGCCGTTCCACTACAGAATATTTCACAGCGGTAACAACAGTCGCACGAGTAAACGCGGCTTGACTAGTCGTCCTTACCTATAAAATTCAGAAAGCAATACGAATATTATTCATCCTTAAACGCATAACGAAAAATGACTAAATGCAGATAGTTGGATTGATCTGTATCGCTTATCTAGCTAGCTACCTTAAGTGCAGGAACCAATTTCTCAGGTTCTATCAACGCCATTTTTCCCAAGCATTCAGCAACAACATTCCTTACACCCTCTTCCTCGCTTTCACAGTGGTTGAACAGTAAAGCAAGTATTTTCTCAACACTAGAATTCTGGAAGTCCGCTTTATCAACAGACTGCCTCACGATTACCTGAACACGGAGGAACAATATATGAAATCCAGTAAACCATGTAATCTGACACTATAGTGTATACATATATATATATATATACTTTATTCTGGAAACTAACCTCCTTGAGTGAATGAAGAAGAATATATTGTTTTTTCTGTTGATTATCAATCTGGTTCAAGATAAAAGGTAAATAATTAGGCAGATTGCCAACAGCAATGTTTCCCAGAGCATATGAAGCCGCAGACTTTATTTCTTCGAAAGGAGATTGGAAAGACTCAATGACGAGTGTTTCAATGCCAGCATGTGCGCTTAGATCTTTCCTTCTCCCAATCTCACCAAGAGACAACAGGGCAAGATGTTGTTTTGCCTGCACGAGAAAATCCATCACCACAAAAATAAGCATTCAAATAGCTGTAGATTTGTATAGGAAATTAAGCTCGAGTCTAATCCCCTACTGGTTCGCTCACTCATACAAAATCAGAAAGCTTACTGTATTTGTGCCGCTGTCATCTTTAAGTATTTCCGTAAGCATTTTAACTGTAGAAGAACAATTCTGATCACCTGCCGCGAGACAAAGAACCGCGACACACTGTGCAATTGAATACAATGCTTGCTTTGGGACACCTCCAGACTGAGGAGAAGGCTTAGCGCAGGAAAGTAAAGAGTCCAGCAAGGTGTAGAAACTCGTATTTGCATGATACACCAGAGCTTCGAAGAATCCTTGCAGAGCCTGTGACAAGCGTCCAAGAAATCATTTCCGTTTCGGTCTTTTGATCTGAGGCAAAGTATAAAAAAATTCAAACAAAACGACAAGTTACCAAAAGTGCTTGACCCTGAAGCAATGGGCTTTTAACTAAAGTTAAAGCCTGCGGAAGAACTTTGTTGCGAACCGCCAAACTGATATTTTCGCTACAACTCTTTCCAGTCATCAGAGTGCAGCAAAGTTCAAGTGCAAGAGCTGTCATGTGGAGATCCGAAACACTGGAAAAGACAGATGAAAGTCATCCTTCTAATAAAACAACCAACCTAGAAGGTTTTTCAAAAAGAACATAAGGGAAATTCTGGATAAACAGACCTTATCAGAGATGAAAGTTCCACAACAATAACTTCATAAGCATCTGAGCCAATCTTATCTCCGTAGGCTGTTACCAAGGTATTCATGGTAATCAGTGTTGCTTGCCTTAGAACCCGATTAGCCTGTTTTACAAAAAACATTAATACAAATTGCCTAAGTACCAGATAGTGTATTCAGGGATATTTTCCACTGATTATGAAACAGTAGTCATGAAATAGTACATATTTGAAGAAAATTAGTTATGGTTGTAAAAGGCCATATACCTTTCTTAAGAATCCAGTTAATTCAGCAATCAAATGGACCAAAACACATGACAGATCAATGTGCAGCGGAGAAGTGGCAATGACAGAAAATGCCTGCATGCATTAACAAAATGACAGACATGAGCTAAAAAGTTTGAAAGTAAAAATGTCAACAGAAGAACGAGAACAACCTTCACTGCTGTGAGGCGAGTGATTTCGTTTCCCATTCGGTCAACAAGCACAGGAAGGCATGAAGGTAATTCTTTTCTGAGTTCATCGCCAAATGTTGAAATAACGAGACCCATGCAGGTAATAGCACACTCCTTGACCTCCTGTTGAAGCGAAGTGAGAGGTTAAGAAACATAAATAGTACAATACAAACACATCTTTCTGCTTTCATTATCCAAATTCTGTAATTACTCAAAAGACAAACTGAAAGATTTTTTCAGAGAATTATTCAGATCTAAAACCCCCAAAACGCATGGATATTCTAAACAATTAAAAACAAATAAAAAGGGGGATTCACGCCACAAACCTGGTCCTGGTCTTGATTTGTCAACCGAGACATTATCGCATTGTAGATTGGATGAACAAATGGTTTAAAATCAAAGCCCATACTCTGAACCACATAAGAGAAAATTTCAGATGCAAGGTCTGTGGGTTGTGTATGGGTAAAAGTATGGTTTGAATAATAAAAGAAAACGCTGACACTGTATCTAGAGAACAGACTGACTCAGCAAGTTAGTACAAAATGTCTCAATGTAATGAGATACTCACCTGAGTACTTGGACGGACTACTCTGACAAGTTCCCCACAAACCCTTAATGCCTCAGCGGTCACCTTGTAATAGCGTTCTCCAACAGCAGCTAAAACAGGACTGGAGAGAGCCTAGATTAACATAAGACTTGGAAGAGTCAGTCAAATCAACCCGCATCGGTTGTTTATGTTCATTATTCTTGGGTCAAACGTTGTTTATGTTCACTTTTTGAAGAATGGGGGTTTTGAAGTATATGGACTCAACAACAATCGCTGAACATTTTGTTAATATTTCAATGGACTAAAAACCATATAACATTTCCAACCTTAATGTAAGGATGAAAAACAGGAGGCGCATGCGATTCCAAGACTAACTTTGTGAAGACAAGAGCTTCAATTTTCAAGTTTGATGTAGAAGATTTATCCTGGAGGGGAAACAGAGAAAACATGAGCAAATGAACAAAGAACACCACTGAAAGTACATACACAAATATACTCAATATCCCCACTAACATTTAGTGCTTTTTCAATTCCAGGAACTAGCGAACCAATATGATCAGCAAGGCAATCAGGCAAGACGACCACAAGCTCTCTCAAGACAGAGAATGCTCCAACCTGCAGAAGGAAAGGAGTTACTAAAATATCAAATAGGAACCAGACCAAAAGGAGAATTTCATACTTCCGTACCTTTGTCTTCACAGACTTCTCACGCAGTTGCCTATTAATGGATTTCACAATCTTTGAGACTTCTTGCTTCAGTAGCCATTTCGGACTGCTTTAAACAAAGATATATATTTAGTCAGCAAAAATTCATCAGTAACGTGACAGACCATCCGTCCTGATGGAGGGAAAGGGTGCAGAAAATTTGCCTTGATTCATCGGTGTCAGTTTGACCTTTTGTCACATTTCCTGTTTGTCGTAACAGATCAATGAATGTGTTGAAAACATCCATCTGTAACAACAGTACCTCGGATCAGTAACCATATAGCTAACTAATTTATTTATTTTACGTACCTTCACATTTTCCTCCCTTTCCTTAAATCTATCAATTAGTTTCGGGCAGGCCTGCACAAGAGGAGACTTATTTCTAAATTTCTCAACAGTGAAAACTACAGTAAATTTCATTTATAACATTATTTAACACTATAATAAAGCCAGATTAACGGACGCAAAAGAAGAATTTTTGTGAAAACAAAAAGTATAATCCAATCCTCTTGGTCAGTAAGAAAAAAATATACCTCCTGATATACTTTAGAGATCATCTCAGAACGAGACACTATTAATCCTGCCAAGCATTTCGCTGCTGCTCTCCTAACTTTCCAGCTGGCATCCTCATCATCCGTGTACTCATTTGCACTCTCGCTGTGAGGGAAAAAGACATATATGAGAATGGTGCACTGTAAGGGGATAGGATACGGATCCAATGTTTATATCAGAACTTACTCATCTTCTTCATCTTCAGGAGTCTCATCATCAGTATCTTCATCCATGTTGTCCGTAAAATTCGGGTCATAGCTTATATATTCCAAAGTGAGATTTAAAATTTTATCACAATATGGTGAGATGTCTCTTGGACACCGTAACAAGAAACTTTCAAGTGCCTGCAGTTCAATTTCAGGATGGCATATTATCACCAATCATATCTCTTTCATTAAGGCTTGATAAATATTTAAATCCCATTTTAATACGACAGAATAAGAGAGAAGAGGCTACAAGCACGCTACGTAATTATCCATTGGATAAGAAAACAAAGTTGTACGCCTAGTGACAAAGTAGAATAGAAAATTTATGGGAGACCTGTAAGCTATACTCGCGGAGCTCCTCATAATTTTCTGAATCGCTGGTGCAGTAATTGATCAGTACTGGAACAGTGTTACCAAGGTGGGTCCCAAATCGGTATCCAACAGCACGGCTAAAACAAAACAAAAAACGCATTAAAAACCATTACACCCAAGGCAAGGCTAGTAACAGATATGTACGGTAAACTATACATCCCACTCAATAAATAGGTATAAAACCAGTACTAACAGAAACATGTGATAACACTGCAGTAATACATTGGTCAGAAGTTAAAGACAAATACGGCAACTAAGAAGGATATAAAGTAAGTACCTTATTGCTCCAATCATTTGTATATTGGTGCGTGTAATTTCAGATTTAGCATTCCTGTTACTTAGGTTTTTCACAACTTGAACTGTCGCCTTTGCGAGCAAATCATCAGACAGACTTGACGCAAGAGATGCTGAACCCAAAAAAGTGAAACTTAAATGAGAAATCAGATATCCAGCATTGAATTGGGAGTTCTACATAAGACTGGGCAGAAAACAAATGGAGCTGAATATATCGTTCCAACCAGCGTTAGTATCACATAAGTTGACACCAACAGTTGAAATCCATATTCCAATAGTTAATATTGGGATTAGAAAAGCTGTCCTATTGACTCAGTTTTGTTAACTTACCAATGCATGTAACAGTCTTCTTCCTGACTGTGGCTTGGTTACAGTCCAATTGCAATAACAGTGTGTTCAGTAGCTTCCCGTGATCATCTGCCATTAAACTCCCGTATTTTTGAACAACATCACACATGATCTCAAGACATTCACACTTAATCCCTGGGCTCATTCCCTACAGAAGCAAGCCAGCGTAAAGTTAGTTACTTGCAAATATTATAAGCTTGTATAGTTCTATGGTTTGCTAAGAGTTATTCAGGAAGAGCTATTAAACTGTAACAGCGCCAACAAAACTTTAACGTAAAATCAACTCAATTGCTGGTATCAATCCATCTATTGTGTAGCCTGATTTTTACTTTGAACTGTAATGGCATCCTGAAATTTACAATCGAAAAAAAGGAAAAGGCCTCCCATAGACTAACCTGTCCACTTATCCCTCCAATCATTTGTGGAGTTAGAGTAACAAGAATAGATGGTGCGAGCGAAGGAGCAACTTGAGCGACAACAGTCCTGAGAGCTATGCTTGCGGTATCACGGTGTTGGTCTTTCCCATGAAGCAATTTATCACATAACTTGTTGGTCATCTCCACAATACGCTCTTCTCCAACCTTCTTCACCAACGGAGCAAGACTAGCGCAAAACAAAACACACTAAGACTCAGATATTGAAGAGAAATAAAACAAAAAGCTGCAGAGAGAAGAAATCTAACCACTTAACAGCCAATCCAGAAACATCACCAGCAACATCATCGAGCTGTTGCAATATGATGCTCGACAATCTCATCTCCAAGTCCACATCGAGCTTAAAAGAGTCCTTATTCAACTCATTGAGCAAATCAGAGGTTGCCATATATCTATAATCCTTATCTTTACCAGTCATCTGAACATAATACAAAAACATAAAAAATAAGAAAAAGTGAATATAATCATCAAAAACAAAGATGAGCTTAGTTCCTTATAGATGATCAAAGACCTTTTCAATGATTCCAGAGAGTTGTAAGTTCGCCATCTTCCAACTGCAATCAAACAAGGATCCATCATTCAATCAGACTCAAAAAACCTAATCAGGAGAGCAATGCAACTCTAACAAGCTCTCTAAATAGTTCAATACGTCAGGAGAAGCCTCTAGCATGGACTAAAATCTCTCTCTCGGCAACGAAAACCTAATTTGATTTCCCTAAGAAAAATGTTGATCAATCGAAGATCGTATAAATCGAAGTTACATTCACAGCAAAACCCTAAGACTACGAGTACTGAGTGTGAATACTCAAAGCCAGACAACATTAGACTTCTCGATGTAAATGGAGAAAGAGGAGGAAACGCTAAACCTGAGAAGAAGAAATCGACGGAAGAGAGCGGCGGAGAACGGGAACTGAGCACCGAGAGAGGTTCGATCTTACGGTGGTGAAGTTGAAAAGTAATAAAGGATGGGGGAGACAACTGTAATTTTTCTTTTTTTTTTCTTTTTTTTTTTCTTTTTAACTCGCGTGAAGCGTTAATTCTCTCTTCTAAAAAGGGAAATTGAAAAGTTACAAATGGGCAGGGGAAAAAAAAAAAAAGTTACAAATGGGCCGAGTGGAGTCAAATGGGCTCAGATTACTATCGTTGGAATTGTTAAATGGGCTTTGTTGAAGCTTCTTCTCATATGATATCACTAGTTCAGAATGTTCCACAAAAGTAAGTCCGTGGTTTTACGATGTTTAGATTATTAATAAGTTTCACAGTAAATATCGTGCTATTCACCTCTACTTAGACTATTTATACCAACATTTAAGAGAAAAAAACGTTTAAAAAAGACGTGTCTGAACGACACAAACGCCAAATCATTTTTCTTTACCACGAAAACACATCATTCATGATCGAAGTTTACTGATCCAACAAGTAATAGGAAACAATGTGCAGGGAATATAAAATAATGTATGTTGACAAGTATTCAATAAATGAAACATGTGATATCACAAAGGAACACAACATCATTGAAATCTTAACCCCTTTTGATGCATGACGTATTTATCCCACGTCTTTTTTTCAGTCATGCCAAGAATTCACAGAACAAAGAAAAAGAACGGTTTTACTTTTAATAATATAGATGAGAGTTCACTCGTGACAACACCAACCAAGCATTTACTCAACCTAATACGTCACACATAATAGGACTTGACTTGCACTCGTCAGAACGATTTTCAACCCTCCATTAATGGAAACGATAATTCATTGCTTCCATTGTTTTGTGCAATATATATATTTTTTTTTTTAAATATGTAGGGTATAAAAAAATAAGAATTGAAAAAACATAAAATCAAAAACAAGACCGGCTCATTCTATTTTAAAATATCATTGACCATGTATATATAAGTATAATGTTATCAACTTTCTTATGAACGTTGTGCTAATGCATGCCCTTCCTCTGAAACTGCCTTTAATAAGTTCTTCATAGTCTAATGATTTGAAAAACTGATAACAGTGAAAATCCCAATGCGTTGATCAGATCCCTAATTAAGAAAATCCTTAATAAACATATGTTTTCAAAGGGTGAAGCTAGCCAAACAATGATTAATTAACAAACCAACAAAGAGTTAAACATTAACATTAAGGTAGTTAATTAAAAAAAACCCCAGGAGAACACACATGGAAACACAATTTTAACTTAAACTAAGGAACAAAAGCAAAATTTTCAGTAGGAGCTTTATTGATGTCGTTATTACCAGTAGAAAGCTCGACATTATTGTTATTATTAATAACGTTGTTGCTCTTCTTGGATAGATTGTGTTTGTTGTTATGTATCCAAACTTTAAGAACTCTTCTCCTAACTCCAATCTCTTGACAAAACTGCTGAACAACAGATTCATCCTGTCTCTGCATCTTCCAACCAATTCTCTCCGCAAAACTCAGCATCTTCTCCTTCTGCTCTTGACTAAACTTTGTCCTATACCTTCTCTTCTGATTATGTCCGCCGTAACTGTACTGTGCTGGAGGTGTTGGTAGCTGCCGGAATATTGTAAAGTTTCCTTCACCATCTTCTGACTCTGAGTTTGATCCAGCCGCGGTTGCAACGCCAATTGGCATCACCATTTGCTGTGGTAATGGTGATTTGATTATCTTGTGGTGATGGAACATAGGTTTTCTCTGAGGTTGAGGTAGTTGGTTGTGGTGGTAAGGGGAGAAGATGTTTTTTCCTTCGCATTCGGTTTCTCTTCTATGGAAGTTTCTATGGCAGTTACAAGCTGAGCAAGTGAGAGCTTCAATGGAACCTTCTTCACCACTTGGCATAAACTCTCCACAGCCATCAATAGCATTGCCTCCCATGGAAGCTGCATGATTCTTCAGACATTCCTTGTACTTGATCACCAGAGGCTTCTCCTTTTTGATGTTGTTGTTACTGAGCATGATATTGTAACCCACATGATGATGATAAGGAGGATTTTTGCCAAGATCATTACCATTTGAGGGGACTATTGGTGGGTTTGGAGCAGTAGAATTGGCAGGATGATGATGAATCATGTGTCCATGCGCACCATGACTATTACCATAAGCAGTGTTTATTGGCATAGGCATGTCATGATCTTCTTTACTTGCAACTTCCATTCTTCTGATATCTTTTCTGCAGAAAATAATCACAATTAATTAGTACTCTTTGTTTTGGGATTTGCAAAGTGTTTCTTGGTTTGGGGATAAAGAAACTAGTTAAAAACAAAGAGTAAAGATAATTAATGAGTAGCATCAAATGATTAAGCTACAAAAAGGGAAGAGCTTTCTTCACTACTCATTAAGCCCATTTTAAAATAATTTTCTCAAAACAAACAACAAACCCTAATTCTGGAAGGTCCAAAACGAAAAATACAAAAGAATATTTATGACTTTAGTACAAGCATGCTCAAGCAAAAGCTGACATACCCACTCGAAAAAGGTCTTAGTTCAAGTGAGAGGTTGATAATAAAAGACATTAACCTAACAAAATATTGTATCGTCAAAAGCTTATATTCAAATATAATTGAAAAAAAAATATAATGACAATTTGAGATAGAGAGACTGTAGAAAGAACATATATACCCTTGCAACCAGCAAAAGTCCGCAGCTTTCTCTTGATATGCTTCTGAAAAGTAATATTATTTGTCTTAAGGATAATCAGGAAGAAGTATTTAAACCATAGTGATCTGAAAATTATAGGCAGCTGAGAAGTTTAGAGATATACTTATAGGGTTTGTAAAGTGAAAGACTTCTAAAAGAGGAGATAATGAGAGAGAGCGAAAGAGAGAATTGCAGGTGGGTTTTCGATGTGAAGGCACTCCCTTAAGGGCTTTAGAGCACCCCCATTGAGAGTTCAAATGGGGGGTTCACACGGAAACCAAAAAATAAAATAATAAAATAATAAAAATCTATGAACCCCTCTCTCTTAAAGTTCACCCGGGTGAACCCCTCTCTCCTAAGGTTCAACACGTGTCGGCCCGGAATTGGTCTAGATCTTTTTTTTTCTTTTTTTTTTTAAAAAAAAAATTCAAAAAAAAAATAAAAATTTTTAATAATATAAAATTGAATCAATGAACCCCAAGAGGAGGTTCATTGATGTGGATGCTCTTAGAGTATTAGTAGTGAAAGAAGAGAGATAATTTTTCATTGAACTACAGCTTTTTCACTCTCTTTTTTTACATGCAAAGAGAAAAAAAAACATCATTAATGAAATCAGTTTGACCTGGTTTTCATATTTAACAAAAGGGCTAGTGATAAACTTTTTTTTTTTTTTAACTATAATTTACACAGATTTTAAATTTGTCTTTGTGTTTTTCTGCTTTTTTTTTTCCGGCGGGTGTATGTGTTAAACGAACGTCTCCTTATTAAGCAAACAGAATGTGGTATTACAATAATAATTATAGCAACCAGCTATGTGTAAAAGTTAGTAACTTAGTACTTAAGAGAATAAATGATTTAAATATCTATAATTAATTAATAATTTCGAATTCATCCACAGAGAAACTACAAAGAGCGGGGATGAAAAATGAGAATTAAAGGCTATGGGAGATTGCTTGGCTTGCACTATCAGACATCAAATTAACAACAGTGTCGAAACGTGTCATATAATTAATGGGAAGAGAATTAAAGCGGGTAACCAAACAGAAAGTCATAATAAAATAGAATATCTCATATTGGGTTCAAATTACATACTGCAAAAAATTGGTAATAAATATAATCAATACAAGATATAACTATTAGTGGACAAAAAAAACTCTAAACGTCGTTTTGTTTTTGAAATGGTGGAAAGCCGAACTGAAATGGCATTCAACATTCTGTTTTCCAACATGTACAATTTTGACAAAATAAAAGTAAATACATATATATATGTCGTTAACAAAAAAAAAGGTTAAGCTTCTGGTTGTCAGAAGACTCAGAACAAAAAAAAGCAAACATGTAGAAAAATAGTTCCCAATAGACGCACACTTAATGAAGTTAATGTATGGCATTATAACTTTTAAAAACTCATCACAATAATATATCTATCATAAGAACCATACATTGTTCATTTACTCAAAATCACATCGATAACTATCTTTCGGCATTATATAAGTCACGTATGATATTAGCTTCCAGAGGTTGTCATGTCATGCATGTGAATTTATTATATCATTTACTTGAAGACTTGAAGTTAATAGTATTAATTTTAGTCCTACAATAAATGTGCACTCATAAATTACTGCGATCTTCGGGTGTCAGGATATGCAAATACTTGAGTATGTAAGGCGAGTGATGTCATTGTCATTTAGAGAGAAAATACAAAGTTACTGTTGTTCTTGGTCTTTTATCAATACTAATCTATAATCCTGCAAAAACCGCTTAAGAAATCCACTTAATATCTTTTTCTATCTACAGTTTTTTAATATCAACAAAATTAAAATATCATTACGCCTAGTCAATTATTATGATCAGTAAAATTGATTTCGTTTGAAGAAAAAAGAATTCTGGCTCTGCTTCTTGACGAGTAATGTTTTTACATGTTTTTTTGTGTGTGGATATAACTATTATGTTCCATAAGATTCATTTGTTTAAGCTGGTGGTGACCATTCAAGTCTAAAGAAACTGGTGCAGTTCAGTTTCTTCTTTTAATAAAGATACTTTTAACTTCTTTTCTTTATGTTTCCTTCTTGTGTCTATTTGTTGTCTATTATTCTTGTAAATTCCTTCCACTGTGGCCGCTTTCTTAATCTCCTTTGTTTTTACCTGCCCTTGTGTAAAATCTCGTAAAAGTCATGGTAACTTTTTCTAACTCTCTCGTCCATACTATGAATTTATTGACACGTTAAGTGATTTTGATTCTAGGTAGGAAAAATAAAGGTAACTATACTGGACCACAAGAATAAATGAGGTTAGGGTTGATGGTCCAGAAATAATTGGATCACAATTTTCAAGATGGTCAGGTCGCTCGTTTTTTTTTTGTAACTGAGGTCTTTCGTATTTTCAGCTTCCTATGTTATACTTATATGTTTACAGTTTGCATAAATGAAATGATAAGTTTTCGACTAAAAAGAAAGAAAGAAAGAAAGGATAAGTATATGAAAAAAAAACACAGAATAAAGGGGGAAGATGATGATCCTCGAGAATTTATATTCTTTCTAATTTCTCTTTATATACTATATATAGTTTCATCTATATTACAGTGACCGGATGTGTGATATCCGATAATCTATTAACGTGTGGTATGTAAGAATGATATGTTATAGACGGTACGTGTCGTTGCAGATTGCTTTACTTAACATTAACAACAACACCGATTAAATAAGGAAACGGTAGCTACGAAACTTTTAAGTGACTACTGGAATACATAAATAATTTCTTATTCATTTTGATGTTAAGTTTGTTTTTTATTTATGCTGCCGACTTTCTTTTATTTATCTTTATAACTATCAAACTTCACATAACTTCTGAACTTGAAGATTCAAATTATTTTCTGTTAGCAAAATAAAAATTCTCACGGGCAACCCGTGTCATAAACATTGAAGATGGAATCTAAATACGCCATTTTCCGTTTGTTACTAGGAAAATATGATACCAACATCATTTGCATTTTTTTCTAAGTTAAAAAAGTATGTGATTATACCTCTAATGAGGTTGACAAAAAAAACCTATAATGATCGTCGAGTTATTGCTCATGCATTCTTAAAATGTAAAAGAACAATTAATCATTGGCTCTTTAAGAAGCTGGCCACTCAATCTCTTCTGTACAACATCTGGAGACAAAGAAACTCAGCCGTGCATAACAATGGATTCGCCCCTACTCCGACAACTTTCAACATCATCGACAGGGACATCCGCAACACCATAAGTGCGAGAAGACATAGGAGAAATTTTGCTGCTCTTATGCAACTCTGGATCCGATGAGCTTGTTCATTGAATCTACTCTAGTGTAAACCTTGTTTTTATTTCTTTTTGCCAAGGTTTACACAATATAGGCTCTTGTAACCTAAAACCTTCATTCTATATGATATTTACAGTTTTGCAAAAAAAAATCATTGGCTCTTTAATTAGTTAAAACTTTAAAATGAACATACCTATTTATATATAAATATAATATGGCCAAATAACTACACAGTAGCACATTGATGTATATTTCATGAATATATATGACATGCCAGATTGCCAGGGCATACATGTACACATGATATACACATACATTGATTACATTTCAAGCAAGGAAGCAGCTGGTCTTTTGGGGAGATGAATGAATAATAAAATCTGATGCACCGATCATTGTTCAACAATGTACAGTTACTGCAAAACCATGTTGTATTTGGTGAATCCATCATTATTCGTTATTATAGCAAAAACCTCACGTTACCATAAAAATATTAATGAACGAATATAAAATCGAATAGAAAAAGTCTACAAATAATTTATGTTGTAGTTTTATATGTTTGCTTACGTTACAGAGCATTTCAAGTTCTAGGGAAACTTTATTATAAATTTATAATAAGCATTTGAAAAGTTACTTTCTTTTAGCAAACCTTTCATTGAAAATAGAACATACAAGCTAAGCCATAGATAGCGAATTCAAAGGGCTAGGAGACAATGTTAGCCAGAAAGTTGGCTTCTTTATTACAAAGTCTAGGAACACACTTAAAGGATAAAGACTCGAAGGACTTACACAACATAAGAATGTCATGAACACCTCCTTGGAGCTCATTGACTCAACCATATTAGAGTTGAGGATCTCAATGAGGGTCTCAGAGTCTTGATTTCACGACCATCCCACTATGATCTGAAAAATGCTGCATCCAAGATTACAGTATTAAACGCATCACTTCCGCCAAAAAAGCTGAAGAAACAAATCTTCGATTAATTTGCAAAGTGGTTCTGTAACACCCGCATTTTCCAAAATAATAAAATAAATAATAATGTCTGAAATCTCCATTTATTAAATCGCATAAATCATCTCCAAACTTCATAAATCCAAATAACATAATAAATCTCAAAATAACGATAAAAATAAGTCTGAAAATAAATGAATAAAACTCCCAAAAGCACCAGTCCGAAATGATCACTCCTGATCGTCANTAAACCACAAACCACTGACTCAGTACATAGCACTACGACTATGTAGGCCTAGCTCTAGCATGAGACAAACACCGTGTCTATTACACCTCACAGAACAAACATATGCCTAGAGCACCATACAACAACAATCAATGCGATGATAGTACATAGCTAATCTCTGCACCCCGCAATCTCCTCATAGGGATATACATATATAACTCTACAGGCGTTGCTAGTACGGTAGTCCACTCCGTACCCCCGCAATCTCTACGGCGCGCTAGTACAAACGTCTCTGTACCCCGCAATCTCCACACAAGGCGGCGCTAGCACAGACGTCTATGTGCCCCCGCAATCTCCTCAAACAAGGCGTCGCTAGTACAGACGTCTCTGCACCCCCGCAATCTCTCACACATGGACTCGTATATATATANCTAGTTCGGGATTTAAGGAATAGCCCTCACCTTTTCTAAGATCAAGAACCAAGACGGATTGAAGAATAAACGAGATGACTTGAACACCAAGGTACCTAGAGTTTCACACCCG